TTCTTAATTCTGTGCTGTTACTGAGCTAAACAGCTGGAGTACACCCCACAGAAAACAAATCCCATGCCTGGAAGTGTAAGTCAGGGCTCAGATTTATATGGAAGTTAGAAAGAGGTAGAAACGCAGCAACCAGAATAAAGAGCTAGCGGAAGTCAAAACCCTTTTCAGATTAAAATGAAATTCCCTCCTTTCAAAACCAACCAACTTAATGGCTCGTACCATTTGCAAGGCACTTTCCTTTTCAGCGTCGAAAACAGACCTTCTGTTTCAATTAAAAAAAATCAGTTCATCTGAATCTTATTCACATTTTTTAGATCTTCCACCACCACCCGACCCGCCCCCCGGTCAGGGTTTAAGGCAGCCCATAGTGCCGGGCCAGCGCGGAGGCTCAGCCGAGAGGAAAGGGAGCTCTCTGGAGAGGCAGCACGCAGCAGCCAACGTAGATGACACAAAGAGCTCCCTGGACCGGCCCGCTAGGACATCACTAGAGTGGCAGCGACAAGCCCAGGAGTGGATAAGCCCTACAGACCGCCAAGAGGATTTCAGGAAAGCCCAACACAAACAAGCCTTCGGATCAGGTGTGTGCGCGCTGCACCGGCCGAGGCGAGGCAGGCGGCTGCTCCCCACCTCTGCCGAGGGGTTCTGGGCCTGGCAGGGCTCCAGGATCACCTCACACCTCTCTGGGAGAGCGCTGGCAAGGGTCAGGCTGGAAAATAAGGAAAGGCAAAGTGAAACGAGAGCTTGTGATCCAACTACCTTCCCTCCTGCAACAATGAAATTCCATTAGCACCTGACTTGGTGCGCTCTTTGCAGTGTTTTGGATATTAATAATGTTCTCAAGCGTAGTGATGGAGAAAACAGCTTCAGGCCAGCAAGAAAGGAGAGAGATTTTTAGAGTATCTTTCATTAGATGTATTTATTTCTACATATAGGGCCATATTTTCCAGTTCTTTCAACCTGCTTCCAAGTTGGCAGCAGTTTTTACATGTCTGCAAGAAGGCTGATCCTTCTGAGCTGCTGACATTCCTGTATTAAAAACCCTCACTTCTCTTTATTCAAGGATATGACAAAGTAGCATTCATCTCTTAAGCCCAGCAAGATGACAGCACAGGTTTTCACCTTCATACAGGACCTGCACCTTGCCCCAAGCTGACTTCAGCACCTAAATGGATTTCAAGTCTGCACAAATGTGCACAGGAGGTGATGCTGGGCTGGAGCTGTATTTCTAAAATATTCACAGTTTCCCTCTCTCAGCCTGACCTGAATTAAAAGCTGCTGTTTCATCCTAGGGCTTTTTCTTTAACCCATTAATCACCTCATCCCAATGCAGTGCTGATTAGAGGGATACAAGAAGACAGATAAGATTTAAATAAAGAAATTATACTGTGTGTGGAGGTTTTTGTAGGGTTACACTGTTTCTTCACTTATGCATGTAGCTCCCACAGTCACACTAGTGGTACTCTTAGCATCCATACTTTTCTTGATTTGATTCACTCTTAAAGCTCCTTGTTAATCTAACACATTAATAACATTGACATACTAAAAAAAGAATAGTAGTGTGCAGACAAATCTGTTATGGGGACAGGAACTACTGGATAAAGTCGTCCTAGGAAAAATACTGCTACCTGTATTTTAAATGTAAATATTTAAAATACAATCCATATTTTAAAATATAATGATAATGGTACTGTTAAAACCCCCTAATATGTTGGCTGCATAAAGAAATGAGTGGCTTTTCATGTTCTGAAATCATGATGTGAAGTCACAGTTTAAAAATAGCATGTGAAATTCATACTGCTTGGTGAAATGGCAGTTTTAATTGCAATTTAGAAGATGTACAAACACATAGAAAATAGCCCAAATATATGCCTTGCACTTCTCATTTCCTTGGAAATCATTAAGGATGCTTCTCTGAGCTGCTCGGAAAGAAGTCCCTTCTTTTTCCTCTGCCTCATAAGTGTACAAATAGAATTTGTCATTTTTTCTGTGATGCAGAGCTTATACAGTAGTAAAATTCCCATCCTGCAGGGCATGCATTTTTCTGTCCATAAATAAAGAGAGCTTGATCTTGACACTTCCAGTGCCCTGCACTGAAGTGGTTATAGGTACTCTGTTCTTGTCAAATTCAGAATGCCAAGAGCAAGTGAATATCCTTTATGCATAAAGAAGGATGCCTCTAGGAGATGTTACGATTTATCCTGGTGTGAGGAGTTCATAAAGTTTGTGCACAAGATGGGCCAGGGCTTCATATCTCTGTCTGCATTCTCATTCCAGCCCCTTGCACTACAGCTTTCTTGCTCTGCATTCTTGTCTCTGGTAGATTTTAAAAACACTACTCCTGTGCATGATGCTGGTTTAGATCACTAAATGTGGGTGTTTTAATAATATTAATTGTGCTTCTTCCCTTTTCCTTTATTAATGGAATAGTTCTTTGGAAATCCATTCTGTCACAGTTTTCAATACGTTTCCAAAAAAGACTTATTATTAGCTATCAGTTTCCAGAAAATAGATAACTTGCAACTTAGGGGGTTTCATTCAGATGTTAGCAAGCTGTGGTCCAAGCTTTGAAAGCAAGACCTTTAGTTTGAAGTTGAATAGAATAAAAATACCTTGGTCTGGGATATCTGTTTCCACTGGTTGCTTTCAGTATAAACAAGATCACTGAGTTCCTGGCAGTGGCTTCATTGTAGAAGTGGAGTTAAAGCACATCAAATATGGCATTCTCAGCTCTGATGAAAGTGGTGCTAGATCAGGTTACAATTCTTTTGATAAGAGGAGAAGCCTTTTGGTTATTTTCTGAGGTATAGAAGCATTGTTACTCACACATATCCTGATTTCACAGGGGCTAGAATTATATCTTCAAATTCATGGCTCAGCATTTCAAAGATAAAGGCACCAGCAAAGCCTCCCCATATTCTTTGCAGGCCTGGACTCTGTTTGGAGAATTTAACAAATGTGAGCCCATTCTCAGAACTGGAGACAACTACTTCTTGTGTGCTAGAATGTTGTGTAAAACCTAGCCTTAGTTTATGTCACAATTCCTTATTTTATGGATTATGTTTATTTCTGAGGCCACAACAGATAATTGAACATACCATATGCTGTACAATGATAATGCACTTTATATTTATTCATGGTCGTTTTTCCTCAATATTTCATTGAACCCGAAGGAGGCCTTATCCTGAGTCCACAAGCTAGAAAAACAAATCAATTGACTATATATGTCATCTTCCAACTCTTTTGCAATGCTAGTGACTTTTGTTTTCATCCTTTAAAAATGTATCCAGCTTTCTGCTAAACTGATTTATGCTGCTTGCTTTATTTCTGCCTTAATGCAAACTGCTCCGTATTTTACCCAGCTTTTGGAAACCAGGTTTGCATCTGACTCTATTGTTAGATCTTGATATATAAAAAAAACAAGCAAGTAACATAATTTAGGAGAGACTGTGGCTGTTAAATACCATTTTACAGTGTCTTTCAAGCAATTATTTTTATTTTAGCAAGGACAGCACACAGTCATAGCACAAAACACTGATAATGCCCTAAAGTCCTGCAGCACAAATATACTGGTCCCTTGGGCAGGACCAGAGTGAGATACTTTGGCAGTGAAAGAAGTCAGCTGCCTGCCCCCTTCTGCAACCTTTTACCTTAAAAACAGGCTCAGTTCAACAGCAGCTCAGGTGGGGAATCCCCACATCCTACTCTTTTGTGGCAAATAATGAAATCCTGAGTTTCTCCCACAAATTTGTTCTCATTTAGCACTTCTCCAAGTTAATTATGTCTCTGCTGAAGTCTTTGAAAGGGCTTCAAGCTTGTGAATAAAAGCGTTTTTATCTCCTCTTTCTTTCCAACCATCCCCACCTACTTTTCCTTCTGTGTTCCTTGCCCTCTGTCAAAGAAAGTCCATTTCTCCTCAAAAGCTTGTTTAAGAGTGAAGACAATTGGAAAACCAAAATAAAGAAAACCCTTTTGGCCTAAATTCACTTTGAAAAAGGGCAAGATTCAAGCAGTAGAAATCCAACTGATATCAGAAGGGACAAAGCTGTGTTTGAGGTTAGGCATATATATACTCATATTCTTTCTTCAATCAAACTATATTTAGCAAGATCTCTTTCTCCAGCTTCTGAGATGGCAAAAGTGGATCAGACGCAGCAAAGGAATAAAATAGTGCTTCCATTTCAATGTTAAATCAGTGCTGCTGTTTTGCTTCTTAGATTTGGACTATTACAACAGTATCTCCAGGAAATGCTAATCAGAAGTGATGTCTTGTTTTACTTGATGCTATGTGAAGACATGAAGTCTTATGCCTTATTGCCATTAATCCTGCTCTTGAAAGCAGTTCATTATTACAGGTCTTCACAAAAAAAGAATCCAAGTGAGCAAAAGTAGGTCTTTTGCTCATAATGGAACATGAAACAGGCTGCAGGATTATTTATCCACTCCAAATATTCCAACTGCAATGTATAATATAATATTTTCCAATGTAATTCAACACCAGTTAAAACAAAAATGTTGGTGTACTTTGCATCATTAGAAATTACTGAGTACCTGGTAGATAATTAAATTAGCTGATATTGTAGTTCTTTGTCTAAACTGATTGAGTTAATGTTGCCATAATTAAAGCTAAAGAAAAGGAAAAAGCATGTTTATGTAGGCTTGAAGCAAAAGTCCAATCATAGCTTCATTGTGTTGGAAATTGCACGTTCACCTATTTTTATTAAAGTATCTATGATTCATGATCTCTTATTCATAATGAATGTAGACTTTTTATAATTAATGCAAACTGACTTAGGAGTTCACAGGGAAGCAAGATTTAAATTCATACTGGCTTCTCTGTCCTTGGGATACAACTCTTAGTTGTGTATTTTCTTACGTAAAATTGTTATGCCATAAAGCAAGACAGATATGAATGAATATGATGTGCATAAATTAATAGCTTGTTTATTCCTGCTTCTAGGATTATTTATTGGTATTTACTTTGCTTTGTTTTGCTTTTCTAGAAGAGGCACTCGTACCATATAGTAAACCCAATTTCCCGTCCCCTGGTGGCCACAGCTCTTCAGGAACATCTTCTTCTAAAGGATCAACTGGACCTAGAAAAGGTGAAGTCTTGCGAGGAGGTCACCAACGCAATGCCAGTGACCTTCTCGATATAGGCTATGTGGGATCAAACAGTCAAGGACAGTTTACTGGTGAATTATGTAAGTTTACCTCTAGCTCCAGTTAAAACTATCAAATAGATAAAAGAAAAAAATTATAAATCTGTTGTGAAGGGAGTAGGAAGTTGTGTGTGATAATCAGATTAAGCTTTATCCAGACCTTTTTGCCTTCTGAGGCGTATTGCATGTGATGGCAAACAAATGTTGTCCTTCTTTAGACCAGTTCAAATCTGTGTAAGCCATGCCAAAGCTTACTACATGGTACATCTCTCACTGTGTAATGCTAGTGAAGCATGGGGAAATGAGAAGGAATTCTAGTAACTTAGAAATTTTTTTGGCAAAGTGTAGTGTGCTTGTCTTGGAAATGCCAATGACAGATTTCCTCAGCCTTCCCCTTAATTTCCCGTTGGTTGATGAGAAGTGTTCTCTTAGATGGAGGTCCTCTTTTCTTGATTGTGTAGAGCAGTTTTGCAGTTTTATATCTCTACTCTTTTCCTCAGCATCCCTGGACAGGGAAATTGTTTTCTAAATTTGTTTTCTGTTATCACTCAATATCTGTTAAACTTTGTACAAAACCATGTTGATGCTGCCTGCGTGCTGGCAGTACCAGCTGCCCAAAGGCTTGACTCTGTTGTTTGAAAAAGTACATCAAAACCCCAGCATGCTCAAGCATACTGGTATGTTTAATAAACTTATTAATGGTAATAAAAGCAGTGGAGCTGTTGGCATGTCTGCATCCTCTTGCTGCAGTCAAACCCTCAGCACCTCCTGGCAGTTACTGCCCCGTAGCTGTAAGAGAGCTAATGGTGACCCATGAGCCCTGAAGAGTGCAGTCTCACACATGGTGCTGGTAAGTGCTAAATTTTAGCATCCCTGGCTTTTCATCTTAGAAGCAATTAACCCTGTTCTCACAACCTATTGAATATTCATCCTGTGCTGCAGTAATATTGCCATAGGCTTTATTTGTGTGTTTTTTTTCCCCTTATTACAACCTCTTTCTCTCTCTTTTGTTTCTCTCTATAGAGTAGTTGAGAAGACACATTGCAAGCTGCTCTGATGGACCATCAGGTCTGAACTCATGGAAGTGATGACACTAAACAGTGCAATGAACATTTTCTTTATTTATGTACTATTAAAAGAACTGTAAATGCAATGTAAAGACACACAGCCACACATATCCCACAGATACTTTACTTGTGTTCTTCTCTTTAATACACCATCCACCTTAAACTATTCCTTGTCAGGAGTATATAAAAAAAAAGAAAGAAAAAAAAAAAATCACCCTCCAGGATTAAAAGGATTTCCTTCTGTATATAATTTCTTTTGTTGCATTGCTATGCAAGCTCACCTTCTTTTTAGCTATGTTCATATTCATGTCTGTTTTTACTGGTCTGTTGTACTATATGTGAATTAATAGGCTGTGGTGCCATATATTAACTTTTAATTGTGTAACTTTTATGTTTAAAGTTTGCACTGCAATTTTATTTGGTGATAAGCACAAAACTCTACTCCTCATGACATGAAGAAAAAAGAGACTGAATGTGTGAAGAAGGTTTACGTCCTGTAAGCTATTTTGGATAATGCTGGATGTAAAGGAGTATGTTAGGTGGTTTTCCATTGGGGTGTAGAAATGAGAAAGTGACAGGCAAAACTGATGTCAGTGAAGACATTAGAGACAGATTTAAACCTTTTAAAAGCAAGCAACATAGTTGCTCTTCCTATTTAAGAAGGGGTCAGAAGCTGGAAGTGTGAGATTAAAGAGTGAAAATGAAAACTAAAGGGAGCATGAGATGGCCTAGACCCTTTCACTAGATACCCTTAGTATCTGCTTTTAGCCGTCCCATGCCACTAAGTAAAGGGGAAGAAAAACAAACCTTGCTACAAATAAAAGAACTTAAGGTGTTTCACTAAAGCTGTTTTTATTTTGCAGTTTTAAAAGAATTATTACCATTAATTTCTCCAGCCCAAAATATAGGACAGAGATTTTCCAGGAGAGACAAACCATATAAACACAAGGGATACCTAGTAAGAAGATAAGAATGCAATTTATTATTAAGACATATTCAGGCTGCTTCCAAAAAATTGAAATGTCAGAGTATCTTATTTCATCTTTCCAATACATGTACAGTACGATAGAGGATAAAGCTGCACCACTGAAATTCATGACATTAATTGTTTTGATTGCAGTCTACACAACCTTTTCTGTTCCATACCTGAAGTCTGCAAGAGCTGAAGTTGGATCCACTAAATTTGTAGTAAAATGTTTAGTGTTTGGATGGAAAGCAATGGTCAAATTATTTTTGGCTTGCATTAAGAATGTTTCAGGCAATACAATTCATCCAAAAAGTTGGATATAAGCAAAGGAAATCTTTGACCTGTGTTTTAGTGAGTGGCTTCAAACTCTACTATGGTGAGGAAATAACGCATGTTTATACACTTTTTGAATAAATCAGACTCTGTAAGTGGACATTAATGACAGCATCCTGTCTCTTCATTAATTTTCATTACTTTGTCCAAGTCTTCTTTACCTGTCAAATCTGAAAGAGTAAATTCTCAAGCTTTTCTTAGAATATTGTGTGTGGCTAACCCACCCATTACTTCGATGCTAAATTTAAATATTGCATCTTAGAGCTTATTTCTGTTAGTTATCTGACCATGAACACAAGTTTCCATTGAATACTCTTTTTATATAACCAGTCTATGTTGTTTTATATTTTGCCTTGGAGCTCACCAGTATTAAGAACACTTTCTGTCACGGCAGAATTTTAGAAAAGTAAATTCCGATGCTAAGTATGTGTTGCTTTTCATTTCATTAACTTGTTCCATGATAAGATAAAACACTACAGCCATCAACTATTACTCAGCACTATTGAATATTGAAAAATGCTAGTTAACTCCCTTAAGGTCAAGACGAGTTATTTAGCAAGCTACAAACAAAAAAAAAGTTGAGGAAAAAAGTATGAATTTATTTACATATGTGACCAATGAGTATATGCCATTTTCCTGCTTATTGAAACACTATAGCTAAAAACATAACTTAAAATTGTGCAAAAATGTTCAAGTAAGATAAAAAATGCAGCGTAATTACATATACATGTTTTTTATTTTGGTATTACCATATGGAGAGAAGACTAATCAGAATACAATTCAATCTTAATTCTCTGGAAAATGTTTAACTCAGTCACCAATAGCTGGTTTTTCCCTGTTTAATTCAAAAGCTTGTGCTGAGCTTTGGTGGAACACCTTACTCACTCTGTTCTATTCAAAATTCAGTATCATTAGAGGTTGATAAAGCCATTCCAATTACTTTCAAATATGTGTTTTATCTCTTCCACTGGAAAGTAAATGTGTGTCAGTATTAAAGCTGTTCAGTACCATGATATTCACTAACTTGTCCATCTGCTTCTGTACATTTTTGTTCATTAATAATTTGCTTACAATATTACATAAGGTGTTGTTGTGTATGGCAAAGTGTTTCCATTATCTTACAGGTGATGTCTCTTCTTTTTTTTCCTCTCTCTTTTCTATACAGTGTACTTCCAATGAACCACAGTACATATTTTTTAAAATGCCATTTGATTTACTATTTTAAAAGAAGTATTCTTCTTTTTTTAAAAAAAAATTAAAACATTTATTGTGAATAATGTGTTTAAAGAAAAGGGATGTTGTGGCAGCACTTAGAATTGTTTTTTAATTTGTTTTTTTTAAAAAAACCTGTTTATTGGCTACAGTTTGTTCACAAAAAAGTATGACCTCTTAATGTGTTTCATTGGTATTGTTAGTGCAGCAAAGTTTAATTGGCATAAGAAGTTGGTTAATAGTACTGTTGAAGTGTGTATTGTATATTTACTGGGGAAAAAATAAAACATATTCACATTTCAAATCTATGTTAAAAGACCTTGAATAAGGAGTCGATATGTGAAAACCCAAACAGGAATAATCAGGCAGTAATAACATAGACTGAGCTATAATCATCACTGTCCACTTACAGGTGACAAGGAACATTTTATACGCTGTTTTTTGAACTAAGCAGTAAACACTGCCTGTCCTAGGGGTTTGTGTTTAATGTCCTGTCTGTACTGGAACAGTTGTAGCGCTGTAATTACACAGATACAGCTATTCCAGTGAATATTCTGCTTGTAGCTGTGTTCTCGCAGTGTGGGGGCTCTGCCTAGAGCCCACAGAGCAGTGGATGTGTAAAACCTGGGCTGAACCCTCACACCTGGGGTTTGGTACTGCTGGAACTACTGCCAACCCAGTAGAGAATACCCTAAAATGTATGGACAGGTGCTAGGTCAATTTTTCTCAATCTTTGCACTGAATACCTGCTCAATTTTAAATGCAGGAGGGCTGAGGGACCAAATAATGAATTGTTCCATGTGCTTCAGTGGTGTATTGCTGTATGGGCAGCCAGTTCAGTGATGCAAGGAACAGACATTTCCTATTTTTATATTTCATTTTTATTTTTCTTTTTTTTTTTTTCCTCAAGTACACATCTAAGTCAGTAAATCTTTAGAATACCTTTTGATTGTCACCTGAAATGCAACAGAAGCACCATTCCTTGGGAAAAGATAAGGTGCATGAAATGTTTTTGAGGATATTAATTTAACTACACACCAGTGCAAAAGGAAGGCATGACTGTTTGAAATAATTGTGTGCTGGTTTATGCTTGTGTCTCAGCCCATGCATTGCCAGCCACATGAGGTGTGTACTGGGGCTGAGAAAGAGTCCTCACAACTGAAAGAGGAAAGGGAATAGGGTAGGGGGAGATTTTGGCAGGAACTTTTATTTAAAAAAGGCAGCTACTTTGGCTAGTCTACAATGTATGCAGTTTGGGTTTTTCTTATGGTTAATGACCCTGTGGAGTTTTAGCAGGGGAACTAGAAAGAAAAAAAGTTGACCTCCTTTTGTAAAGATTTTGGGGTACTTGTTTGCTGAGGGAAGACTTTTTAATTTCATTTTTATATTTTTAACATGTTTTGTGTTCCATCTATCTGGAACACATTAGCTAAAAAAATAAATTGTTTTTGAAAACAATGCGGGCAGCGAAAAATTCATTTAGGAGGCACATTCAAATAGCAGGAAAAAGGGAAAAAGTAATACTAAAATAAGGAACACATACTGGTTTAGAAACAGCCAAGTCCTCCACAGTTTCACATGCAATTTTGAACAGTACAATAATATGTTTAAACCTCATTACTTTTGGTTTCCATACCAAAACAAAGTACCCAAAGTCCATAGGAGGGCTAGATCCTTGGGACACTAAATCTGGTGCTTTGTTTTAAATATGTGGTTTAATCCAGGCTGGTGAGAGAGGAGAATTCTCGGGGTTGTACGAGGCCCCAGCCCTGGCTGCTCAGACCCCAGCAAGCCTCCAGCAGAGAAGCCCTCATGGCTTTAGGCTCAGTGGGTTCCAGTGGATCCCAGACAGGTCAGCATGTAGAGGAAGGTCACTTCTCTGAGGATGGAGTTTTCAGGGCAGGGAAGGTTTCCAATGCCTGTGGCACCATGGTGGTCTGCATGAGCTCACTTAGTCAGGCACGTCTCACATTTTGGGACTGGCCTCCCCAGCTCTTAGTGCTCTCCTGCTGTGGTCTGTGCACTCAGTGCTGATGCTGTTCCCTGGATCTGGGGTGTCTGCCATCGGGGCTGCAAGAGCAGAAAGGCCATGGAGGTGCTCTGCAAGCATTGATGTCTGGATGTATGGATAAATGCTTTATCAATTCAGGGGGAATGGGAACACAGCAGAGTAGTGGCACCAAACACCTGCTCTGCTGTGTCTAGCTGGTTTCCTGCTTCTCTTGAGGACTGAGCTCTTTCCTGCCGACACTCCTCCACCCAAATTAACAGGTACAACTCACATGGGACCCACAGGAGATGTAGGGCCATGCCTACATGCACAGTGGACTGGTTATTTGGGAAGAAGTAGCTCTGAGTTCCACAGCTGGCATGAGAACTAGATTCCTCTTTAGCCTGACTTTATTTTACTGTGTAGCTATGTCCAGGAAGAGCTAAGCATAAAACCAGTTCCTAGAGCGGAGCTCAGCATTGCAGCATCTCTTCTGGTATGTGGTTCCTTATTCAGTCTGTTGTTCACTGCTGAATTCTCATCACATCCTGAGGACTCAGATGGCTTATGCTGACATCTTGGCAAGTGAGATTGTTCCTCTTGCTTTAGCACAATGAAAACAAAATCAACCAAACAAAAACCAAAAAAAATGCCAAAACTTAAACCTTTCTCTTTAACAAAAAACTTTTGAAACAATGTTCAAAAATCCTAGAAAACTGCATTTCAGGTGTATGTTTGACATTTTTTTTTCCTTTTTCTTGGTATTTTACTTTGGCTACCATTGAAATGATCAATTTGGGTTTTTTTCAGAGCTGTAACACTGTCCCTGTAACACCCCCTGCATTTTCCAGTACTTATCTTTCATCTGTAAAGAAGTTATGGTAGAGAATAATGACATTTGTGTACTTATATTGTTCTAACTTTAAGCAACAAGGTGCACAGTTGCATTCAGTTCAATTGATCAAAGCCAGATGGGTGCAAAATGTTTGTGGGGATTTTTTTCTAAAAAGGCCTGCTACTATTTGTGCTGATATTTGTTCCCCATTTATGCTGATCAGTGCATCTTTTGCCTTCAAGGATGCCATTAGTAATTCTCCTTTGTGTTTAAAAGCAGGAATCCATTGTGCAGCACTTGGAGAGCCACTCGGATGCAGGTAAAGAATATAACAGCTTGAGCAAGTGCTAATTAGAACCAATTAAAGTTAATTGACCTCCTTTGGCAGTAAAATGCATAATAGAACTTGCTCTGTCCTTGCAAAATGGAGATCTTGCCTCTAAGCATAAGAGTGAAGCAGGGTTTCATGTAGCAGCCCGTAGTAATTATGTGGGTATAACAACCAGGAAGCTGCTTGCTACAATTTGTTTTAATAACTGAGCTCTACTGTATCAGGGCAGCGCAATAAAAGTGAGATTTCTGCTCCAGTCTATTTAAAAACCTAATTTTTACAGAGCAAATGAGCATCCCAAGATACCGATACTAATCTCTAGGAATGAGTTGGCAGGAAAATAGAGTCCCTTTTATAGGTAAGTAATGGTGTGAGCATAAAAAAAAAGGCAGTTTTACGCCTGCTGGTTGGAAATAGCCCTGATGCTCAGAGGTTGCATCTATCCTGGGCAGTGGTGGAAGCTCTGGCAGGCCTGCACTGATGATTTGTCTGGCTGAAAGGTCTGCCCAC